TGTAATTTTAGCAAATAATAATAAAGAAATTCGCATTATTAAAAAAAGTCTGTGAATTGTTAAGTTTATGAGCCTAACTTATAAACTCAGGCTTGAGCCGAGCCTAAGACTTTTGGGCTCAGCTCGGCTTGAGCTTTATGAGGCTCAGCTCGGCTCGGCCTATGAGGAGCTTTAAGTGTGATCTATACATCATCTGATCGCAGACTATAAATAACCCGAAGTGGTCTAAAAAACAAAATGCTTAGGATAATTATAATCCACTTATAATATGGAATGGTTATAATCCACTTATAGTGATCACTGATATTATTAATTAAAATAAATTAAATTAAAAATTTCGTATCAAGTCACTAATTACGGGCATATATGTAAATATTTAAAAACTTGAATATTAGATAAACTTTTAATTACAATACAGCCATTTTTTAATAGATAAAAATATTATATCCTATGTTTATACTATTTCTATTTTGTGCTGAAATTAAAAAAAAAAATAAAGTTTTTTCAGTCATGAAAATAATAAGCGATGTCTGACAAATATTATTCAATAAATTTAAAAAAATATATATAAATGTAATATATATGAAATTTGAATTGCCTAATTTTATATTTTTACTTAGGAAATAATAAGTTTTTAAAACTACTATTTATTTAATTAAATAATTGTATAGATTAAATTTTCTTCTATGAGCCAATGAAAAAGATCATTTATAAGTTCATCATTATATATAGTTACATATGCATAGAGAGAATTATCAGATATAATTGATTGGTTTTGATTCATATTTAGAGAGTTTTGATTTGTGCTAGAATTATAACAGGTAGTGTCTGGAAAAATTTGGTCTATATTCGAAGTAATTTCTAGAGGGTTTTTGACCATAAGAGGATTAGGGTTAGTAGCATTTGGAGAATTTTGACTAGAGTAAATAGTTCTGAAAGAGTTTGAAGGTTGAGAATTAATGTAATTGGGATATAGAACATTTGTAAATGGAGAATTATAATAGTTAATGCCTGAGGAGGTTTGGTGCATATTCGAAGGATTAGAGTTGATAGAATCTGGAGAATTTTAACTAGAGTAAATAGGGCTGAGAGAGTTTGAAGGTGGAGAATTGACAACGTAGTTAGGTCCTAGAACATTTATAAATGGAGAATTATAATAGCCAATGCCTAAAGAGATTTGAACCATATTTGAAGGATCAGGTAAAGTAATTTCTAGAGTATATTGGTCCACAGGAAGATTAGAATTGGTAGCATTTGGGTTACTAGAATAAATAGTGTCTGATGAGTTTAAAGGTAAATAATTATAGTAGGTAGGGCCTAAAGAGTTTTGCTCTGTATTCATATAATTATAATAGACAATGTCTGAAGAGATTTAGTTCGTAAGATCCATATTAACAAATTGGTGACTTTGATAAATGAGCAAATTGGTTTCTAGAGAAACATTATTTGTATCAACTTGGACATTATTTGTATCAACTTGATTGCTTGTTTCAAATTTGTTAATGAAATAAGGAGTAGGGGCGATTTCTTTAAAGCGTTTTTTAATCTCTTTAGATATCTGTTTATAATAATCTTTAACAATTTCTGATTTATTTTTTCAAGATTTACTTGCTAATTTTGATACATTTTTACATGAAAGGTAAAGTTTTAATGAATGTGATTAAATTCATTACGATAAATCATAAATGCATTCATAGTTTCATTAATATTCTTAATGCCATTTTTTAAATGCATTTGTATTATTTCATCTACACTAATAGATGGAGGGAATGGGACTATTACTACATTTGTGGTATTGATAGGAACAGACATTTTTATTAAAAATCTGATTTTTTTTTTGTTTGTCAGAAGGCTGATATATATACTGTATTGCATTTCAAAATTGCAGATCAAAAACATTGTCCAAAAACAAAAACAGTAGTAAAATGTATGCAATAACAATATCAAAAATAAATTGTTCAAAAATAAAAATCGTAGTGTCAGTATTATGTATAAAGTAAAATGTATGTCCAGATTTTTTATTAAATTGTCTGTTTACTTCATTAAATAAATATTTATCACATTTCTTATCAATAAACAACTAACTCAATTGAAAATTCCATATTACTATAATAAAAATAATAAAAATATCGATTTTTTATGTTATTTAGTTTTTTTTCATTGTAAAAATCAATTTAATCCAGATCTCAGTGAGTATTTATTTTTACAAAATCTTTAAACTTAAAATAAATTGTCAATTTTATTAATTAGCTAAATCTTATTTCCGGAAAATTTTATTTAAATGAAAATTAACTGGAGAAAAATTCGTAAAAGGATAATACGTATCAGTGATACGTAATAAATTGATAACCCTCTATAAATGCACCTTCTATAAGTACATCCCTTTTTGAACGTTTCCAATAACACTTATAAAATTTATCTCTATAAGTGAATGCTGGTCCCAAGGAGGTACCTTTATAGAGGGCTCACTGTTAAAAAAGATTTTTTTTTTAAAAAAAAAAACAAGAATTTTATATATAGTGGTGTGCAAAAAAAATGACAATTTTTTTAAAAAATGATTTACAAAAATTTCTCACATAATAAAAATTATATTTTTACAAGCATTGAAATGACACCTTTCAAACAAGAAACCTAACAACAAATCATATTACATTTCTGGAGGCATGGATTAACTAAAGCTGCTGAAATATGCAAATTGACAAAAATTCTACTTAAAACTATCTATAGAAACTTAAAAAAAATAAAAGAAACTGGTGACGTCAAGTATAAAGGGAATAATGGATATATCAAAAAAATAATGCCAGCAGCATCTTATGCTCTTGGCAATATGTTCGAAGGCAACAATTAATTTCCGTGGGGCTCTTGCTTCTAAATTAGAAGATATTGAAATAAATGTCTCCTGGTCAACAGTTTCAAGACATTTGGCCAACCTTGGTTACCAGAATTCTCTTCCTCTTAGTATACCAATGCTCACATCTGCTCATAAAGAAAACGTGTCGAATGGGCACAAAAACATAAAGGTGATGACTGGAAAAAACACTTTTTAGTGATGAAACATCTTTTTAACTATTCCACAACACAATTAAACACTGGTACAAAGAAGCATGACCGATTTGTCATATGCCAAAAGACCAAACTAAAATTTTTGCGTGGGAGGTTTTTGTGTAAAAGGAAAAACAAATCTTTTCTGTTTTAAACATATAATGGATGGAAAATTTTATATAGAAATCTTAGAAAAACATCTTCTGGAGATTAATAGAATGTTAAAAGGACGATAGCGGTTACAACAAGATAATGACTCGAAGCACACCAGCCGTATTGCCAAAGAATTTCTTAATAATAATGTTCGGGAAGTTATGGATTGGCCTTCTAATAGT